AGTAGAAAAACAGCAGAGATGGAACTTTTCTTTTTCTTTTTTAAAAAAAATATTTGTTTGTTTATTTATTTTGAGAGAGAGAGAGAGAGACAGCACAAGCAGAGGAGGGGCAGAGAAAGAGGTTGAGAGAGAATCCCAAAAAGCCTCCACACCATGAGCACAGAGCGCAATGCCAAGCTCCATGTCACGAACCGTGAGCTCATGACCTGAGCTTAACCAAGAGTCAGATGCTTAACTAGGTGCTAAACTAACTGATCCACCCAGGTGCCCCAAGATGGAGCGTTTCTAACATGGAGTCCCTTCAGCTTTAGTACCTCACTAGTACAGGGAATGCAAAGGAAGCTCAACCATGGCCCATTCCTTGGAGGAACTCAGTGTAGCTGGAGAAAAACATCAGCCATTAAGTTGATTGGGGGGCAGGGTTAGCTCTTCTCTCTTGTAGCTGATTCTCCTCCAGTCCTGATTAGAGTAGACTCAATTTCTTTATTCTGTTTAGTCTTTTAGGCAGTTCTCTTCTGATGAAAATTTTCTGTTTCCTTTGATTCACAGTTACCTTTCCTTCATTATTTTCTCTTGATGTTATTTATTTTCTTACGTTCTTTTTCTAAATAAAACCTTAATTTAAAAAATCCATTTCACGTTACTTCAGAAACTGAGTCACAGAATGAACACTTGCTTTCCTATTGCATAAATCTTTTAAGACTCCTACAGTGTGTATGTAATTGAATAATGGCATTGCGTGTACCAGCAGGTCACCTAGTCTCACTAGCAATCAACAGCACTGTGTACGCAGGATCTAGAAAGAATCAAAGCAGGCTGGGGGCCTTAGTAAGCCTTGGTCCTTCAAGGGCAGTTTCAGTAAAATATCAAAACTGTTGTTGTGACTCAGATCTATCATAAAAAGTATTTTCTGTGACAAAAGTGAAAAAATACTTTATTCAGTTATTGGGTGTATACTACAGTAGTCTCCTCTTGTTTGTGGGGAATATAATCCAGGACACCTCCCTCCCTATGGATGGCTGAAATCCCAAATAGTACCAAACCCATAATATATGCTATGTTTTTTCCTAGATTTATATACCTATGATAAGGTTTAATTTATAAATTAGGCACAGTAAGAGATTAACAAAAGTAACTAATAATGATGCCACTGTACATGCGAAAGAAATATTAGTAAGCCTGACTCATATAAAAAAACAAAATATACAAATAATCAGTAATATGATTTTGATTTGAATATCTGAAGGAGATTTGAACATAAATTAGAGACAACAACAATATTTTAAAAAACTGTACCTAAATGAAACATATCTACCATATAGATATGAAAAAAGCTAGCGGACAAAATCTAACTTGTAGTAATGAAATGCCAACTATATTTTAGCTCTTAGAGAACTGTAAATAAGGCCCTGTTTGAAAGGATTTACTGCTCCAGAAATACTGTCTGAAGCTTGTAATGTTGTACCTACCCTTGAGAGTATTGACACAGATGGACTTTGGACTTGTGGAGAAAGGTGACATTCTAAATGGGAGATTATGTTCATTCTTTATGAAAATGTATTTATTTGTTTGCTATATGGTTCCACGTGAGAGCCATGGGTTAACACCCACCTATAAACACGCACACGCACACGCACACACATTCTGTCTTCTTTATCTCTCTGTCTTTAAACTGTATTCTCTAGGTTACTCCTTGCACAAAGCAAGTCAGATGAAACACAAATTTGATGATGTTTCTAGTCTACTTGAAACCTCCCTCCAAAACAAACAAACAAAAACAGAGTTATGTGGACATTAATGAGGACACAATGAGGAGTTGGCACAGAGGCTCTGTCCTCATTTGACAGACTTATGTAAGAAATTATTAACAAAGTTAAGTGCAGAAGCAAGGACCAGGGACTAAGTGAATGCCTGACTAAAGAGCTTATGTTGCAAAGGTATTGGGGTTGGGAGGCACTAAACTTCTTTGAGTGCCCTAATTGTATGTTTTAAAAAGATTCAAGTCACCACCCACTGACCACCTACTGTGTGTTTTTGGTACATATCTATCCCTTGATGACAATGATCTGAAAACAATGAGCTGGCTTTGTCCCTTCTCTTGAGGAGCCCACTGGCCATTCCCGTGATCTAGGAAGCTCTGCATGTTAAGAAATTAGAGAAAGAAGTAAGAAGTAAGAGTAAGAAGTAAGTAAGTAAGCGCAAGAAGAAATTAGAGCATGTTGTATAATTAAAAGACAGGGCCCAGAATTCAAGTGTAAAGTGTTAAAATCTCGGTCTAGAGGGGTGACTGAGAGATGGAAAAGACAAATCAGATATTATAGACATTGTATGCCAAAAGTACACATACTTGGTGGCAGAATAAAGAAGACATAAAAAAAAAACTGCACGTGAGCAGCTTCATTTTTTATTATTAATAAATAATTATATAATTATGTTTTATAATTTTATAATGATATAATTACATAATTTTATAATATTTGTATAATTATAATTTTATAATTGTTAATTATATAATTGATTATATACCTTTATATAATTATATAATTAATAGTAAAGGTATAAGTTAATCATTTATTCATTCATTTATTCAATCATTTAAAACCTAATTTTAAAGACTTTCCAAGAGTCACTCATAGGATCTACCTTCACTAGTCATCCTGAATAAATAAATTTGCTTAGCATTATCACCTTTTGAATTTGTCAAATTAGTAGCATTAATTTTATAGTGAGAGAAAAACACAAAGCTGACTGAAGTCATACAGTATTTTGTGATGGCTTTTACTATACTTTTTATACCAACTAAAATAAGAAAGTAGTATTCATTTATTGAATTTTTCTCATATATCACTTAAAAAATTATTATCTAGAATGTAAATTTTCCATGCTTATTTTGAAGTTGGGGCTAGTTTTTGAAAAGACAATCTGATTCTAGTTTCTAAAGTCATTTGAAAGTAAAAGAAGAAAAAGAAAACATTTTACATTTTCTGAAAATATACTGTTATTTGATATTTTATATGTAATTCTAAGATAAATATATAAATTTTGACCTGCTCTGTGAGAAGATAATTTTATTTTCACAAAAGCTAGAGTTTGTATTATTTTAAGGTATGGCAATATTTACAATTTAATTCCTGATTTTACATATGAAAACATTTAATAATATTTACTGTGTTAGGGAAGAACTTTTGCTTCTAGCCATGAAAGAGTAACGGAGTCCAGACTGCCTTTTGCTGTAAACAACTAGAAAACTTGACATAATATATGAAATAACTGTGTTCAGACATTGGAAAACAGTGCATGACCTTGATTCCAGGGAAGTGTAGGCAAACAAACAAGATGAACCCAAAAGTCACTAAGGCTTTATGCCTGGAGGCAATTCCCTGATTGTTGTGCAATGAAAGAGAATACAGAGCTTGGAGACCTTGCTAATTTAAGAAGACAGAAATCAAGATTTAGGAAGGCTAAGGCAGCGAGAATTTGTACTGCAGTGTAAGGGAGAGGAGATCTATTCAGAAAGAGTCCCAGAGGTTAACACACAGGTTCCCTTGAATATTTGGCCAAACACCGAATTCAAAAAGTCCAGGTAGAAAACAATTACTGGGGACCTGGAATCCCTGAGCTTACACAGACCCAGGAATTGTCTCATTTTTCACAAGCCAGAGTGGAGATACTTTGTTGAATACACAAGGAATTAAGTAGAAACCCCAGGTGATTACACTTTAATATGAGGCTTAATTATTTCTAGAGCAGACAATCTTCTAGACTTATCCTAAAAGATTAAAAACAAGGCTCAAACTGAGCCACGAGTAGTTTAACTGCCATCAGAACAAAGACCAATAATTAATTCTTCAGGGAAAAACATCCAGGACTCTACGCCTTATGTACACAATGTCCAACATCTATCTGATCAAAATATTTATATCCAACCACATCAATGATTATACTAAATGTAAATGTATGAAACACTTCAATGAAAGGCAGAAGTTCTCAGACTGGAGATGAAAGCAAGATCTAATTATGTGCTGTTTACAAAAAACTCACTTTAAAAAAAATTTTTTTTTTTCAACGTTTATTTATTTTTGGGACAGAGAGAGACAGAGCATGAACGGGGGAGGGGCAGAGAGAGAGGGAGACACAGAATCGGAAACAGGCTCCAGGCTCTGAGCCATCAGCCCAGAGCCCGACGCGGGGCTCGAACTCACGGACCGAGAGATCGTGACCTGGCTGAAGTCGGACGCTTAACCGACTGCGCCACCCAGGCGCCCCATAAAAAACTCACTTTAAATGCAATGTGTTTTGACTTTTTTTTTATTATGCCAAGTGAAATTTGCTTACCAAACAAATTGAAAATGGGAGAAAGTTTAAACTACTCCAATAATAAATGATTCATTGTAGTTTTTGATTCACTGTAATTTTGGGCGAAAAATAATTTTTCTTCCAACAATTTATGTGATCTTTTAAATTCACTAGAGCAAGTCACAAGGCCAATAACAGGGTTGACTTTCTTAGCCATCATTCTGTTTTTATGTGTATAAAGTTGCTCATATGTTCATAGTTACAAAATTCATTTAAAAATCCTCAGATTTTATGAATAAATAAGGTTTTATTACGTAAGAAATTTGTGGCTAAACATTGCTCTTTCAGAGAAGAAAAATTAATTTTTATTTTTCTGAGAACAATTAATACAGATGAATATAAATAATAAAATTTAGCTGTTTCATTTTGGTAACACTAAAAAATATAATGTCATCAATTCCCTTTATGAAAGCAATTATTTTTGAAAAGCCTCCAAACCCAGCATGGAATGAACTGAAATTCACATCTGAACTCGAAGATAATCAGGCCTATTCGAATGCATGTACTTAATGTTCCTCAGCATATAGGATATTTTGAAGAATTACTCTTTTTTTTATTGTAGTATGAAAATAAGTCCTTATATGAAATAGAAGACTTTCTGGAGAGACCATCTTTAAGGCGTATGCATTATCTCTGTGTTACAGGTCATACGGAAAGGAGAAGTAAGTTGCTGCTGGATTTGCACAGCCTGCAAAGAGAATGAATACGTGCAAGATGAATTCACCTGCAAAGCCTGTGACTTAGGGTGGTGGCCCAGTGCAGATTTAACAGGTAGGAGCTGCCTCACTTTAGATCTTGTCACTGACTATGGGCTTTCCCAATGTGCTCATTGTTTAAAATATGAACATGCAGTTCATGCCTTTTTCAATGTTTATTTACAGTGTGCACTTTAAAAAAATTTTTTAATGTTTATTTTTGAGAGAGAGGGAGAGAGAGAGAGATGGAGAGAGAGAGAGAGAGAGAGAGAGAGAGAGAGAGAGAGAAAGCATGAACTGTGTGTGGAGGGGCAGAGAGAGAGGGAGACACAGAATCTGAAACAGGCTCCAGGCTCTGAGCTGTCAGCACAGAGCCCAACGTGGGGCTCAAACCCATGAAATGCGAGTTCATGAACTAAGCCAAAATCGGACGCTTAACCGACTGAGCCACCCGTGGGCCCCTAAAGTGTGCATTTTTTAATGCTCACGTCAAAGAGCACAGAGAAGCCGCTTATAACTTTTCCAAGATTTATATTGTAAGACAAGTTCATTTAAATGTTTATTTATTTAAGTATTTATTTAAATATAAATAAAAGTGTATTAAAGGGACATTCTGGTATACCAGCTATTTTCTGTTTTTCTTTTCAATTTTTTTTAAAAAGATATTACTAGTCACCTGCATGTATATTAGCAAACATTTCTTGAACATCTATGCATGAGGCAGTATTCTTTTGCTTTAAATTTATCTTGCTTTATTATTTTATTTTGCTTAAAACTTATCAGGGAATAAACATGTAAAAAATAATCTAAGATTGTTTTAATGTAGTAGAGATATTAAGAAAGTACATAAAACTTGTGAGGCAGATAAGAAGATGAGAGGAATTCCAGAGAGAAAGTAGAAGATGGGTAAAATGAAGGCATATAACACGTGTGGGGAAAACCACAAGTGTGTGAGGCTGGTTGGTAGACACAAGGACCTAGCAGAGGCCAGAAGCGAGACTGGACAAGCATGCTGGAGGTTGATGGTAACAATCTTCTGCATGACCTTTTCCTAAGGGTTTGGACTGTGGCTTTAAGCACAAGAAAAACACGGAAGGATTTAAAGTAGCAAATAACAGGGGCTCCTGAGTGGCTTACTCAGTTAAGCGTCTGACTTCGGTCCAGGTCATGATTTAATGGTTAATTAGTTCAAGCCCCGCTTCAGGCTCTGTGCTTACAGCTTGTAGTCTGGAGCCTGCATCGGATTCTCTGTCTCCTTCTCTCTCCACCCCTCTCCCATTCATGCTCTGTCTCTCAAAAATAAATAAATACTAAAAAAAATTTTAATAAAAAAAATAATAAAGTAGCAAATAACATCATGATATCTGTGTCCCCGAGAGATGCTCCTGGTGGTAGTATAAGGAGTGTAGTGATATTGGATGAAAAACAGAAACTAGGAAGCTATTGTATTTGGTCCAAGTGAGTAATTTCAAAGGCTGTAGACTAGGGCAGCTGCAGCAGGAATGGAGAGGAATATATGAATGCAAGAAAGGATTTATTAGTAAAGTCAATGGGAATCATATGGATGGATTATCAGTTTGTAAGTTGCATTAGAGAAATGTTAAAATATACAAGTTTTGTTTTCTGTGGACCCTGGTATGAACTCACACATGAGATGTGTTTCACAAATACCTTTCAGAAATTTTAGGAGTAATAGAGCCATGGAAGCTGCCATCTGAGTACACAGAGATTTTTGTCACCTGAGTAATCTCATCCCTCCTTTTAGAGGGGGAAGCTGAGGCCCAGAGAGGTGTACTTGTGTGCCCAAGGTCACGAAACTAGCTAGAAGCCGAGCTCAGTTCCCTGGGTCTTGATCCTCTGCCCCCTGGGTATTGTTGAAAATCATTAGGGAGGGTAACATTCCTGATTGTTTTTTAAATTTTTTATCTGTTCCCAAATAAGAACAGCAACTAAGAAATTGTATGGCTTACTCAAAACACACCAAAAATGGCTGGGTAAATAGAACCAGGTCACATAATGAAAATTTTACTTATTTAGTGAAGTACCTTGTAAAATGTTAATCTTGTTAGAAAAAGTTAAACTAAAATGAGTGTCAGAAAGCCTTTAGAAATTGTTGAGTACAAAGATCTTCTTTAAAGAAGGGAAATTAGATAAGAATATTTTTGAAGGTACAAACTGTATCTCACTCATATTTTTATTCTGTAGCTGAAAATTGTTATTCAACTTTATTATGCTTAAAAACTCCCCAGGAAATACCCACTTCCAGAGAATCCCATTCACTAGTTCTGAGATGGGACCCAGCAGATTCTAAGGTGCCTGGTTCCTGTCCCATCCCTTTAGAAACATTACTCTCTGGCTCATAGTCTAGTGTCTTGAACATCATAGCTACCTCATAAATGTCCTATTGAGAGAAATAGAAAGGAGAAGGGGCTCACCTAAGTTCATCCTGGTCAGTGTGTTTGGTTAATAGAGAGAATCCACTATGAGAATCCAGTGTTTTTATCCCTGGGTCTAACTTATCTCATGGTTGCATGCAATGGAATGGCTTGGAAAAGCTTTTCCATCCACTTTTGGCCAACAGGGCTTCTCTCCCACTCGTGCTGTGCCTCTGTTCACATCTTTATCCTCCTCCATATAGTGTGTGCTTCATGCTGGGTCTTTTTATCTCAAGTCAGCCCTCTCTGCTCTTTGACGGAGACTGCAGCTGACTAGGAAGAGGCTCGGAGACAAACCTAGCCTTTCTCTGGTTCATCTTAGAAGTCAGAAGTTCTGGCTTGGAGGTATAAGAATTTTTCTTTTATCTACCTTTTCTTGGGCTTCCCCCAACTTTTCCTACTGCTCCATTTTCACTTTGGGGCTTATTTCATACATGATAAAGAACGTCTATCCTATTTTAAAACGTTAAAATACAAAGAAACTTTTTAAAAAGATCTAATACGTTATCATAATGGAACTCAAAGTCGTATGTTTTATTCCCTAGAGATCTTCCATTGTGGGTATATTTTTGGCCTACTGCCAAATGATCATCACCATTGAATTAAGGCTCTTTGAGTTAGTAGTGCATAAAAAAATATCCTCCTTGACTGTACATAGATATTAATGTGATTATCTTTCTAAAACAGTTAGTCTATCATCCATCATATGTGTAAAGGTCACTTTAGTTGAGCCAAGCAACAAATCAGGCTGCCCTTTTCTAATAGCAATAGATTTGATTATTTTGCAAATATATATGTATATATATGTGTGTGGGTGTGTGTATATATATTAATATAATGTATATAATATATACATAAGATAAATGTGTGTGGGTGTGTGTATATATATTAATATAATGCATATAATATATATACACACACCCACACACATATATATCTTTTGTTTAGGATCTTTCAGAATACACATCTTTGATGTTAATTTATACTTAGTTTTAATGACACCTGTCATTTCTGGATTCCTTTCAGCCTTACACATGAATGGAAAATGAGGTCTTATTTGGAGGCATGTCAGGCTCAGAACAAGGGTGCAGCACATGGCAGTGTCTTATTGGTTGTTGCCATGGTAGCAGTAGTTGTGAAAAGAGAAAACCCGCAGGCAGAGAATACCAAAATTCAGTAGAAATACTCAGAGGAGTAAATGCATTGCCTTTAAGTAGGTGTTTTGTGTTCACAGGTGGATCTTCTTTTGACTGAATTTTAGTTAATTTAAAAGAATGAGAAATCATTCTTCTTTAGGAAATGGTGTTTTTTACTGAAGGTGGACTTTGCTTATATGCATAAAATCATTTTACAAGATAGCTACTCTCCCTATATTTTCCAAAAACTCTAATATTAATGAATAAAAACATGTTTATAAGTAAGTTTTATTTTCATTAGAATATGTTGTTTTTTTGGCTCTAAAGAAAAAAATGGTACATTTCTTAAAGGAAGCACTTTCTGTAGCACTTGCGTTCATAAGTTTTTCATATTTTCTTCTTGGAAAAATGCACATTTTAATTCAGCACTTAAATTTCACACTTATTTCTTAAGATGCATAAACAGAGATCTCTTCTGACACGATATAAAACTTGACAGTAGTTTAACAATTCACGAACCAATTATATGTAATCTGATGCTACTTATTTCTGTTCAAAAGTCAAATAGGATGAGAGGATTCTTCAGAAAGCCAGACTACACTAAATTTTATCATTAAAAATAGAAAATATTAAGCTATAGAAATTAATTAGTTTTTACCATTTTTGTCCATCCCAACAGTTACTGTGACCTCTTACACTATCTACTCATTTACTTAATTTTATATACACCACCACCTGCTTTGTGCCAGGCATTTTTTGGAGAAACTAGAAACATATAGGTTTATATAAGTTTATATCATGGGGAGGAATTTCATATGAAATGTGAGCATATAAGCAATCAAGTAGAAGTCTACAACAGGAGTATGTATAAAATGTCATATGAACACAGAGTAAAAAAAGCAATTATTTTCCCCTGGCAAGACAAGAGGCTTCATAGAGAAGGGGATATTTGAGTTGAACATTAGCTATGAAATAGAATTTTTCCTTGTAGGTAATTGATATTAATGTGATACCATTAAAGAAAGCATTTTGACAAAGCTTTATTAATTATGGAGCATTATTGTAACTGTTATTAAATGTCCCAAGACATTTTAAATAGAATAAATGTGGACTTTCTTTATGTCTTCGGTTATATTATATTGGTATTAACCTAATTGGGAAGAAGTCCAGTATTAAATTATAGCTTCCTCCTATGCAGTTGGATCTTACAAGTGAACCAAAATTTGTCTAAAAATTAGGAGTAACTTCCTTTCCCTCAGATCAGTAATTCTTGGATTTTGGTCAGTAATTTGTAGTCTGCTTGAAGGAAAATGGATCTGTCTAACGGCTCTGGATTCTCTGGGATAACTGTAACCACAGACACTGCCAAGACCTTAAGTTCTTGAGGCTTTAGATACAGTATGCACAACTCACATAATGGCTTCTGCTTTTAGATACTGGGGGTCAGGCAGGGCCACTGGATGAAGGTAACTCCTATCCCTTCCAGTCTTAGGATACCTAAACAC